CAAAAAAGTACTCCAGAGTGTTGTTCAGCATGGGGGTGAGTAGAAAATGAAGGCTAATCATGTTTTGGGTGTACTATTCCTTTAATGGGAATATAAACACAGATCTCAGTGACTTACTGTTGCTTTGAGGAAATTGCCCTACAAACATTTCACGCATATTGCTCAAGCTAATGCCGCTGACTTATAGCCTTTCTCTCTTATGTTTTTTTACACCAGCTTTGTATCAGGTCAAAGAGCTTGGAAATGTTGCATTGGTATTTTTAGACAACATATTTTTTTCGCTGATTAAATTAGATGTTTACAGTTACTCAACACTACAGTTGCCTTTTAACCGTATCCTCTCATACTAGACAGATGCTACTTTTTAAATTCTGTTAGAGTTAATAAAACAAAAAAAGGTTGTGCTTCTACTATTGCTGTACAGTAGTTTAATGTTTTGCTACTCATAAAAATATTGTAACATGGAAACTTTCTCCGTAATAGGAATAAACTCTACTGAGATGTCACATGTACCAGTGAAATATTTTCACAAGGAAGTGTGTTTACCTTTGTAACCATTTCCCCATCTTAACTTAAAGCCAGTAGTCTCAGGCTGTTCTAACCACTGTCACTCTCCCACAAGAGAAAATCCACTTCCTGTAGAGAAACAACATTGTGTGCTTTTGAATAACACAATAAAATGGAAAATAAATTTTATTCGTAACATTTGCATCACTCTAAAATCAAAAAAAGAAGTTTGATCACAGTTGTTTTTTTGGTTTTTGTGTTGTGGTAATCTCTTATATTTGCTACTGTACTTGTTTAGACCTCATATGTCATTCTACGGCAAATGTACATAAATGGAGAATCTTTTTGTTTCTCATCGTTTTTCATTTCCTGTTTCAAGCCTCTTAGCTTATAGGATCAGCATCTGAGCTGAGTTTGTTTAGCTTAAAGATAATCTTTTCATCACACGCCTTTTATAAGTCACTCAGAACATTGATGTTAGCGATTTCAGCACACATGCGCCATTCAAGCGACTCTTCAATATTAAATCTAAAAAAACAAACAGAGTTAGAAGAGGATTCATTTCTGTTTCCAAAGAGTGCAGTTCTTAGAAAAACAGCCTGTGCCCCCATTCTGAGCTAGCACTTGCAGGCTTACATGGTGTTTACCCCTGCAAGACGTGGTGTCTCCATTAAAACGGTGTTACATTAAAGATGTTGGTTGTTTCTTTTGTTTTGTTTTGCAATAAGATTTATAAGTTTTGGGTTAAACTGCAATAGCTGATTAAACATGGATGATTAAACATTGAAACATGGAGGTAAAAAGTGTATCTTTGCACCCCTGGGACACAGAAGTATCAACAATGTTTACAGTGTTGTTATATTCTGCATTTTTGAGGCTTGGAAAATACACTCAATTATGAAGCTTTTTACACCCCAATATAAAATATATCCTGTGGAATTTATTGAGAAAAATAAATATACAGGGGAAATATAGAATGTAGAGCTGTTATATAAAATGTAGAACTGTTGCATGCACATCCTTTTTTTTTTGAATAACTTTTGATTTAATTAGACATTAAGTCAACATGACTCAGTAATGTTAATCTGCTCTAATTTGTGGCAGCTCTTTAACTGTCAGATTGAGACAGCCACTATTGTTTCCTGCCCTCTTTGGATGAGTTTACAGATTTATGTTAAATTCTTATACAGTAACATTCTTTTTTAAAACTTTTATTTTCTTTTATTGATCCATAGTTTTATTTTAAGTGTTTTCTTTAATTTTTGAAGTAAAAAAATTACAGTCTACCTCATCATATTTTCCCCAATAATTTCCATACTGTATTATTGCACATAATAATATTACACTTTGGAATTAGTTTCAATCTATCCTCTCGTCCCAGATCACACCTTTGTAGTAAGAGACCATTTTGATAATGCATCTTTTTGAAAGATATCTTCTTTTTTTTTTAAAGCTGCATGTGAGAAAAATTTGGAATATCCTAAGAGCAGTGAACTTTAAATTCAAAACTGAAATATCAAATAAAGCACAACAAATTAATTCTTTTATTAAAATGCTAAATATTGACTTTCTATTCTTTACTTAATGATAAACATCCTCAAAATTTGGTTTCCATTATTCCCAGGTGAAGGTTTATAACCTGGATGAGAACAAACATGGACCAGATGACGTCCTGGTTATGGGCACAGATGGACTGTGGGATGTAACGACAGACAAGGAAGTGGCAGAAGCTGTTTCAACCTACCTGTCACGCTGTGATCCATCTGATCCCATGAGGTGAACTGTTTCATTAAAGAGTATTTTTTTATTTTAATTTTTTTTTTAGTTTTTGCTTTTGCTGTTTTCCTAATTTTCATTGCATCTGAAACAAAGCTGTTCAATTATGTTTTTATCAAGTTTGTCCACTAGGTGGTGACAAATCCTGCTTTAAGCCTCCAACTATATTTTATCATCTATTGGCTGAGCTTTATTTGATTAGCACTATTGTTATGAACAATATTTAAAATGACTCTGCTTAGTATGAGTTTAAGCATATGGAGTAAGATATGTTGCCTATAGTTTAAAAAAGACGGTGAAGAAAAGTTCTTGTTTTCATTATCTGTATTTTAAATGTTAGTTTAATCAATAACTTAGTGTAGATGCCAATTGTTTTTTGTTAATAATTAGTTAAATAAGTTTTTTTGTGTATAATCTAGCTAAGTTTATTCTACTTTATTGTTTGATATCTGTTTTGAGATTTTTTTTTTTTTTGGTTATTTAGTTATGTTCCTTTGTTTCTGGTTAGTTATGATTAATTTGGGTGAATTATTTCTATACATAAACTGTCAATGGTAGGGTTTTTTTTTTACCAGCACAAGAGAAGCATGGAGGAAAACTGAAGAAGTTTACCTTTTTATTTTATTTATTTATTTTTTATTTTTTTTGAGTGCGTAAATTACTTGTCCATGGTGCATCTGTAGCTTGGACTGTGGACTTTTTCTTGTCATCAAAGCTGGGCTACAACAACTTAGGTTGAAAGAGATTATTTGATTAACAAATTTAAAAAAGCATGATTTTTTTTTTTATGTTTTCACCATATTTTAAAATCTTACCTGAACCCCTGTTTTGAAATGACTGTGTGCTCTTTAACTCTCTATGTTTCACAGATATACACTGGCAGCACAGGAACTACTGATGAGGTCCAGAGGTGTGCTAAAAGAGCGCGGCTGGCGGCTACCCAATGAAAAACTGGGCTCAGGTGATGACATCACTGTGTTTGTCATCCCGCTGGCAGGACACGAGTCAGAGACCTGATGAGCTTCATTGCAGTGCAGCCTTCCTATTAGTCCCTTTTAACTCCATGAATAAACCCTGGAACGACGAGGCGGTGGAAGACAAAAAGATGACTTTCAGTGGAAAGGCTTGGGTCTAAACAGCACCTTCATTGACTCTATTACTACGACCCACCTTTCTATAGTTCAGTTCTATCTGACTCCTTTGGTTGATTTTTGATTATTCAAAAAGCATTGAATTATTAGAGAAGTACATTTTTTTTCTCCCAAATTTGCTGTTTGTGATATACACAAAATCCTTGTAGTATTTCTTTTTTTGTTTGTTTGTTTATTTATGTCTAAATCCAGGGCTGGAACAAAATCTTTTAAAGATCTTTGTTTTATTGCAATCCCCAAGATGCTACTACTTATATCTAAAATAAAAAAGCCTCCTTATAGTTATAAAATGATTAAATAAATGGGTTTGTTACTGAAGTTGTGAGGCAACCAAAGAAATGCTCCTGCAGTAAAATACAAATATTCACAAAAATCATTAAATATACAAAATGTATAAAAAAAAAAAAGGAAGAACGAAGAGAAGACCAACGAATGGACCTTTTTGGCACTGGACCCATACTATGTTGCAGTATTTCAATAGAAAATAATGAATGAAAATGACGACACCTGAGGCACTTGAAAGTCTGTTGCACATGTTCTGTAGTAGCCTATTAGTTAGTGTTATCCTTTGATTGAATGTGCTCATAGAAGACCTATTACATTTTATTACAACAGATGGGATTGTTGGTTATAAATATGTTTGGTGATGATAAGAAGGAAGTTGTTCATGTTTTTATGCAACTGTAAGCTTTTTTTATTTCTTTTTTTATTTAGCTGACAGGGCAAACAGTATCAAGTTCTCCATGTCTTGCTATAATCAGAAGTTATGTTTCACACATATGCCTTATTAGAACATGAAAGGGACTGAAGAGTTTCCATTGCACTAAATTTGAATCATGTAAAAGAGGCAAAAAAAAAAAAAAAAGAATACATTGTACGTCTTTATCTGTACCTCATACCTCTTTTGTACTGTTTAGGTTATGTCATGTCGAACTTAGATTTTACATATATATTTTTTGAAATTTCTTTTGCTTGTAAACGAATTGTATTTTTATTTCCTATCCATAACTGTTGGTGTGTCCAAGAATCGGAGGTACCAAAAGGTATGATAAAAGGACAATTTGATTCAGTTTGAAAGAATAAAATGTTTTTTTTTTTCCCATTTGGTTTAAACTTCCTTATTGCTGTCCTATGATCCAACATAGAACTGTTCTTTTTTGCTAGACTATTTTGTATTTTTGCACATCTGACACATCTGGATCACCTGTAATGCTAAATATATATATCAGTAGAGGTGCTACCTCATGTTGTCTACAGGCAATACACTAAAGTATAACATAAGCAAAACATCGCTGTGTGACATTTGCATGGAGGGCTCTTTGGAATTGGGTGGAGAGATAAGGGGCAATGATACAGCGGGGCAAACAAGAATTGAACATAGCAACATGACATTTTCGCGTGATGTCAACAACGCATGCAGTCCACACTTACAAAGAAATCAAACCTTATATGTCCAGAAATTAAGTTAAGTGGAAAAAAGTGAAATTGCACAAGGAAAAAGTAATGAAACAAACCTACTAAAATGTATTTAGTTCTCTGTTCAAAAGCCTTAGTTGGCAATAACAGCTTCAAGGCGCCTCCTGTATGGAGAAGTTAGTTGCATGCATTGCTCAGGTGTGATTTTGGCCCATTCTTTCCTCGCAAACAGTCTTCAAATCTTGAGGGTTTCGTGGGCTCCTTCTATGAACTCTGATCTTTAGTTCTTTCCATACATCTTCTATTGTATTCCAGTCAGGTAATTGGCTGGACCATTCTAGCAGCTTTATTTTCTTTCTCTAAAACCAATTGAGAGTTTCCTTGGCGATGTCATTGTCTTGCTGAAATGTCCACCCACGTTTCATCTTCACCATCTTAGTAGATTTTCAGCAGATATTTATCAAGAATGCCTCTGTACATTTGTCCATTCATCTTTCAATTATTTGAACTTTGCCAGCATATAATATGTAATATGCTGAAAAAACAGCCCCACACCACACAATGTTCCCCCTCCGAACTTCACTGTTGCTATGGTGCTTTTGTGGTGATGTGTAATGCCATTTGACCTCCAAAGATGATGTATATAATGGCATCCAAAGAGTTACATTTTGGTCTCATCTGACCAGACTATATTCTCCTCGTATTTCACAGGCCTGTCTAAATGTTATGTAGTAAATGCATGAAAAAGAAGAAAAAGAAAAAGCATTTTCTGCAGCAATGGAGTCTTGCATAGTGAGCGTGCATACAGGCCATGGCGGTTGCATTACTTCTTGTTTTTTTTAAACAATTGCACTGGCTGATTCCAGGTCTTTCTGAGGCTCTCCACAAGTGATATTTGTCTCTTGAACAACTCGTCTGATAATTATTTTCACTGCCCTGCCAGAAATCTTGCGAGGGGCACGTGGCCATGGTTAGTTTGTGGTGAAATAATGTTCTTTTCACTTTTAGATTATGGCCCCAACAGTGCTTACCAAAAAAGATTGAAGAGAGCACATCTGCAGTAAAAGCTGAGCCTATAACTTTGTCTCAGAGAAACAGGACACTGCAAAACAGGTCCAACCCTGTCATCTATAATTGGAGGTGTTGATGGCAACACCCCAGCTTATGGCTCCTTCCAGGATGGTGTCACAGCCAAACAGAGCACTAGACAGAGTGTACACAAAGTTAGAGGTTTACCTAAGAAATACTGTAGGATTGGAGAACTGAAGGAGAATGAAGCAGTATGCTGAAAAGTGGTCCCTATGTCTTCGGCAGCCTAAGCCTATAGCAGCATAATTATAGCTCATAATAACCTGAGCCACTCTAAGTATAAGCTTTATCAAAAAGGAAAGTTTTAAGCCTAGCCTTAAAAGTAGACAGAGTGTCTGCTTCACAACTAAAACTGGTAGTTGGTTCCACAGGGCAGGAGCCTGATAACTAAAATATCTGCCACCAGTTCTACTTTTAGAAATTCTAGGAACCACTTGTAAACCTGATAATTTTTTTATTTTATTTGTATTTAACCTTTATTTCATTAGGGAAAAAAATCCCATTGAGATTAAAAACCTTTTTTTTCAAGGGAGTCCTGGCCAAGATGCAGTAAAGTTACATAATAAACAGAGATACTTTAACTTAAATGATAGGTACATAAAAAAAACATTTCAAGCAATTTTCTAATTTTCATCACAATCCCTTCTGTTACATCTAGTAAATCAATTGTTATTGTGTAAATATCATGTCACTTCATGTTTATTTTTTATTACTGTATATGTCATCCTTTAAAACACCATAATCTGCATATAGGGGGAGTGGCGGCCTAGTGGTTAGGACATAGATTATGGAATCCTGAGGTTTTGAGTTCGAGCCCCACTCCCACAGACTGCCACTCTGGCTCCCTAAGCAAAGACCCTTAACCCCATACTGCTCCCTGGGCGCCGCACAAGGGCAGCCCTCTGCTGCCTAAGGGGATGGGATGTGTTGTGTTACTTAATATTATCTTTAAATCAAATCAGATGTTATAATTATAATTAGTAGATAGATTACTTAGTACTTGAGTAGCCTTTTCGCCAATTTGTTATTCTTGGGTAATTTCTTGGATTGCTACCTTTTTACTTTTGCTTACTAAATAATTCAATAAACTAGTGCTGTTCTTATTTAAGTACAATTCTTGGCTACTCTAGTCAACTCAATAAATATAATAATATATTCATAAAAGATATATTCATAAATATTCATAAAAGCTCACCAAGGATTTTAGTGAAGAATTTATGAGCTCTTACATGGTGTCTTCACTTTTGAATGACGTGGGGCTTTACTAAAATTTAGATTTGTTTTGTGCTTAAAACAATGTTTTAACTAACTGGGGGGAAAAAAGATATTCCAAAGACACCTTTAATACACCTTTATTATGTTTATAGCTCCGACGATTTTTAATCAATTTATTTTATGTTTATTTAGGCTTTATTCTGTTTGAACTCTGCTTAAAATAAAGCAAAATTGGGTTAAAAAGGTTTATTTTCTAATGATTTTCGTGATGTGTGGGAATAATGCAACTTAGTTCATGAAATATACGTAAATAAGTTGCACTGTTTTGATTTTGCTAAGCTGATTAGACAAAGGTGTTACAGGAAAAGGCAGTGGAATATGTTTGACAATTTGCAGAAAAGTTGAGAGGTTTGATTCTTGCCGGAACATTGTGTCATCTTTCACATGAAAAGGGAGGAGATATCTTGCTGACTGAAGCAGACACGTCAATTTACCATAAGGTTGCATCAAAACAGGATATAGATTATTAGAACTTCAAAATAAAATTTCAGTGTGCATTATTATTATTATTATTATTATTATTATTATTATTATTATTATTATTATTATTATTATTATTATTATTATTATNATTATTATTTAAATAGGGAAACATTTACCATGAGCAAATATGTCAAATTGTATTCTACAGCATGCTGTTGTTCATATAGAAGATATTTTTCATGTTTGACACTAAAAATAAAGGAGCAACATCAAACACTGTTGCAGAAACACAAAAGTATTACATTAAAACAATAACAAAAATAAAATGATTGTGGAAAAGGAAAGAAGCAGTCACATTGCAAACAGGTAAATGTCTAAGACACCATATTTAAATATTATTAGGTACATTTTGACCTTCTTGGGAAAACCGTAAGAAAAGAACATTATTTATTCTGTCTGGAAGTAAAGAAACTAATGGTCTCAGTCGGTTCCAAATCTGGCTAACATGAAAACTAAATTTTGGATTCCCTGGTTTAGTTCAAATCCTGGGAACACTATAAGATTGTAAGGCAGTTGTGTGTGATATTTTGTTTGTATGCACCCCTTAGATGAATCACTCTATATGGTCTTCTTTTACTGTATCCTTGGAATACTGTCAGGTTTTCCTGACAGTATTTGTGTGGCACTATTTCTTTTATTAATTTGCCTCCAAAAAAACAGATATAAATAGAAGGAAGTGAAGTTGATGACTACCAAATCCCTTAGATATTCCAGCGCGTTCACTGCTCCACAAACTAAGATTTTACAATTTGTCCTTTGCCACACAGGGGGTCTGGCAAAGGACAGACACCTTGTTTTGAATTATAGGCTTGTGTGAAATCATCTATCATCCTGCCGTTAGATTCTGGAAACAGAATCTTTGGTGTGAACCACAGCTGTCTTACACATTTTTATCTATTTATTTGCTGAAAGAGGTGAATTACTACTGCTTAAATGAAAATACCACAGAAAAAAATAGCATTCATCAGTTAATGTGTGTTTAGCCTTTTGTTAGCATTTTGTTTTGTTTTTTTGTTTGTTTGTTTTTAGCTAATAACATCTACAACAGCTTGTTAAAAAAAACATTTACAGAAACATTTAATTTCACTTTGGATCAATAAAGTATTTATGAGAGAAAATAGATCTTTTTTTTTTTTTATTAAATATGACTGATTGAGTTGCTTTTGTGTGGTTGCTAAGATGTAGGACTGAATCCACCATGAGAAAAGATTTCATGCATTGTTTGTAGTTTTAGTTTAATGGAGTCTAATTGATTTCACATTTTTAGTTCAGAATTTTTGGGGCCAAATAGTTGAGCTGAAGGAAACCCACCAATGTTATGGACACGTCAGTATTTTGGCTATGATGACACAGTAATATATTATTGTCTATCAGCAGCATAAGCCGCAGTTCTTGTAATACTAATAATTTTTGTTAGAAGAAATCTACATTTCAAGAGGCCTACGAATGAAGCTGCTGGCACTTTGTGTGATCTTAGTTTGCTGAGGTATATTCCAGTTACGTGACACAAAAATCTTGAAGCAATTTAGCCTCTAATTAAGAATATTTATGAGAGATGCATGAATATATAAAGAGTCTGAGTTAATTTTTTGGTTTGATTTTGAAACAGACTCAGAATCATTTTAAACAGGGAAACATTAAGCTACACATGTGGAAATAAAAAATAAAAAAAAACACAGACTGAATATTAGAGTTTTATTTATTTATTTATTTTTTTATATCCTATAATTTCTTTTAAGTCTGCTGGTTACTATAATCTTCTTGAGTCTGAAGAGACCTATTTTTCAATGAATCTAAATGTTGATATTAAGTGATGTAGATTATTCTTGTTTAAAAATAAATGAGGAGACCTTTTCAAAGATTCAAAAAGAAACAAATTCAAAGAAGGCTTGTTTTTATCCCACATAGTTTAAATTTTAGTAATTGAGCTCATAAGTGGGTCTTTTATTGAAAATGTTAAAAATAATACTACCTCTTTTGTATTTGAAGACAGAAAAGCGTCGCGCTTTTATTTTGAAATGTATAAAAGACTGTTATTTTGTTTAACTTTGCGTTTTGCTGGATTCCGTGAGAGGATTTCTTCTCTCTGTTGTGGGACTCAGCATTCAGTCTGCAAAGTTCACTGGGGAACCAGACGTTCAGTTGAAGAAGAGTCTCTATTTGTACCAGGATCACAAACACTGTGGAAAAGTGGACTATTTGTTTTTTACATTTAACCAGCTGTTGCAGGTAACTATAAGTACCGTAAATAGATATCACTTAATTAATTTACTGTTTTTGAAGTAGTTTTGCCTTAGAAAAAGCAGGTAGTTTGTCCTTAAGTTGATCTTTATTTAATACTCTAATAGGAGCTGCTCTGATTTCTTACAGTTTGTTAATTAGTTTATAAATGAGTTCATTAGTAGAAGAAAAGTGTTTGTAGCAGGAGGGATTCTGTCTTTTTATTAGGATTAACTGTTTATTCTGTGTATTTTATTCTTGGAGATTAGATTATTCTTGGATAGTTTTTTTTGTAATAATTGGTTAGCAAAAGATATTTAATCTTTTACAAAATAAAACATAATAATGAAGTAAAGCTAAACTATGCCAGATGAGGAGGTCTGAATGAGGAAAATTTACAGACAAATGATTGGTGAATTTATTGTAGTTTTTGCTCCATTTTTACTGGGTGAGTTGTTCTTATGGCATGTTTTATAGTTGGCATACTCAAGACGATCATTAGCTGCTCTTCAGTGTAAATATCCAAAAGTGATAATGTGCTATTACTTTCCTGGAAAATCTTGTTTATAAATATAAACTTTAAAATCCAGTATTTCTAGCAATACACCTTATATCCTCATGTTTATATGAAAGCAAGAATCCTTCTGATCCCTGACAATGTTAGATTTGGAGATTAAATCTATTCAGTTGGTTGATTAAATTACATATCTAAACTTTCTGCAGACATTTTCAGATGATAACTGAACCTAGTTCAACGACTAATTCTGCAATAATTTTAGAGATTAAAATCTAAACTTTAATGAAAGTGAACATACTGCATTTTTCTTTTTTTTTTTCTTTACTAATCAAATTGAACTAACGGCACAACTTGATGGAACCAGTTTTTTTTTTTTTTTTTATTAATGTTACCTAAAAGTTTAGGGAAAATTTGGTGATGGATTAATTATTTAATCATGGATTTACAAATAATATATGATTGTAGATGTAAAACCTTTAAAAAGTTTCCCCTGCACTAAACCAATGCAGATGATGGTTTGAATAATCCAGCTATCCTTGCTTAAGTACAAGATCTGGATCTCTTCAGACTTTTTGCTGCCCAGTACATGTTTTTCTTTTAAGTGATGCTGAAATCAACCCTGCATTTTAATTAGATTTTTGGGTCTTTTCTCAAAATTTGTCTTCTGTATTTTTTTATTTATTTTGTGGATTATAAATTTTCCTAAGTTAGCCTTTACCTAAAAGTTATATTTGTGTCTTAGAAGAGAAAATTGCACTATAATTCATTTTTTAAATAATTTGTTTACTTCATTTGCATGTATTTTCGTAAATGCTTCAATGAGGAGTTCCATCTTTTGCACCCTGCCAAGGCCTTTTTCTGTCTCCTTTCTCCATTTAAAACTTCCTTGATCCACAGTTCTAGATGCCGTTAGCAGAACAACCAGCGAGCCCCTCTCATTTGGCTTTAAAAGCAGCTCTGTCTTTCTTTAAATGATTTGTACATTTACAGCTACTGAAAGCAGCCATAAACATGAGCAGGTTGTCATTCATTGGGAATGTTGTGCGACTGTTGTGGCTGTAATCTTTAAAGCTCAGTCACTGTGTTAGATGAACACTGCAATCTTTTGTATTTTCATTTCCAATGTTTTGGGTTTTTGTTGCTGAGACACGGAAAAAGGCTTTGAAATTAATGATCATATCATTATATCATCATGGTAAATATTAAACTAAACTAAACTATACAGGGAAAACCAGTCTGGATTTCTCTCCTTTAAGGTAACAATTGCTTTGTCAGCATCATCGGCAGCAAGCACACTTTTATAGAAGCATATTGTTCTTGGCTTTATTGCAGTGAACTTTTGAGGTTTATTAGTTTTCCTATATAACTCTTGGTAAGAAAACATGGCAACAATAATTATTCTTTAAAAGTGAATAAATAATTAGCAAATTACACATTATGTTATATCATTATTATTTGCTTAAAGATAAATTGGATTAAGATTAAATGTAGGTGCTAGGAATTCCTAACTAGACATTTATCTACCTACGTAAACAGTTGTGCTATTCCCTGTTTTCCCAAATAATAGTTTAAAATATGCCATGCATAAGCTGACTTCAGCTTTATAGAGACATCAGCATCTTTGTCTTTCTGCAATAAGCTTCAAAATTCCTTTTAGAAACATAAATCTTCCAGATCTGATTTTGTCCTCTTTTTTTTAGCATTTGTTTAAATGTAATATCTCCTTCGATTATTTTGGTTTGTTTTGGGCCTGTTTCTATTTCTTGTCTTTAAAGGCATGACTCAGTTATAAACTTTCAAGCTTTAGAACACATCAACAGAATGTGAAAGTTGATTAAATCTGTCATGAGGTTTCCTACTACTGTTGTCTCTGAAAAGCTCTTCCATCCAGTTTGATGCGTAAGACTTGTCAAGATTTATTTTTGCGCCTGCAGCTACACATCGGATTTAGACAAGTTTTGTAATATAAACTTAAAGTCTTAAAAAAAAAATCACAATTTACTGTTGCTAAATGTGGTTCATTTTGGACTTTCTAAGGTTCTAAGTCAAATTCTATTTGTTTCTTTTAGCTACAAGGAGCTTAAAAAATGTAGCTATGATGACTAAACAACTGAACAGCTCATTGATTTTATAATGATGTTTAAGAACCTGGGAAATAGGTTATTTCTGCTGTTATTGCTATCTGAAGCTCTAGTGTTTTGTATCACAGGCAGAGCTGCAGTCTTGAAGTGAAAAGAAAAATGAAAAAAAAAAAGATTCTCACATGCAATTTCTAGATAAAACAGCCATGTCAGGAAGGAGACAGATTTTCTAACTCAAATAAGTCCTTAAATGGAGGAAACTCATACAGTATGCTAACTTCAAAGTTATTTATACCAATCATTGACATACATTTTTGTGTTTTTATTATTTTAGAATTTTTTTAGCATGCGTCTGGTCTCATATCCAACAGAGAATCTTTGGAATAAGAAAGATTTGTCTGATGTATAGAAGACCCTTAAACCTCAAAGAGCTCCCATTTATGCTGCGTTTATAACCGGCTTTGAGCAGCAAAGAAGCCTCTGCTGCTTCTTCTGGCAGAGAACAATGGACACAAATACCTGTGGATACATCTGAAAGCCTCTCAGTTGTCATATAATCCACTGTTGATTCAGCATTAATGAAGGATCTTTCATAGGTTCTCAGAATCTGCTGATGTCCAACGATCTCTGAACAATATGTGGGTTAAATCCCAGACAGGTTGCCTCTCCATCATACTGGTTTTCCATTAGCATCAATCTGAAGTGTAGTTTTAGTGCATTTTGACCAATCAGATGCAATTGGTTATGTATGAGGAGGTATATTCATAGTTTAAATTAGTGTATGGCTGTTGGAATCATAATATACATAATATATACATAATATATAGTAGTTAATGAATATGGAACTGATTGTACAGTATAGGTTTGATTCAAACATATACAATGGGTTTTGGTTTTAGTAGGAAATATTACATATGAATAATGAACTTTTATCAGGTGTAATTAGGGATATGTTCATCTATTTGTCAATTAAATGTATTTATTTCTAGATAAAGTTTAACTATAATCTATTTATGTTATACAATGTGGTATTTTTGACAGTCCACAGGACCAACAAGCCTTTTCTTAACCTGCTTGCTTATTTTAGACATTATTGTTGTTTCTTAAAGGAATGTGGGGGGGGGAAACGCAGCTCATCTAATAAGTTGGTGTCATTATCTGTGCCCGCTTGACTCATCTGGTTTCAAAGCTTCTGGTGGTCCAAAGTTGGGCAAACCGTAAGGAGATGCCCCATTATCATGGTGTCACCAAAGGTTTTTCTGGAAGAATTTATGTTTTTTCTTTCCCATGCATTGGAAAGCTATGCCTGGATCAGGCCTTAATAATATCTGTCTGTGTCTGAGAGTTTCTTTTTTAAATTCTGTTGTCTTTGTTACTTAGGAACAGTATTTTCTAATAACTTGATATTTGTATTGGGTTCTGGTCTGGTTTTGGATCTTACACTAACCTGTAAATCAGCTGTTCCTCTGTAGTATCCTTGGGTGTGTTCGATGCAACAATCCATATTATTTCACTTCCATGATACCTAAATTTGGATATGAGCAGATCTTGATACTAGTCCTCTGTTTTCTTTATTGTTATTATTATTGTTGCTGTTCTTTTTTTAAGCGGCTGTCATAAACTCCCCTCTACAAGCAAATATGACTTCTTGAATATTCTTAAAGTCTAATACTGCTGGGAGAAGCTGATCTGCAGCGTAGAGTCACAGCAGGTGATAAGATGTCTATATATAGATTTTATTTTTTTAAATCACCTTTGGCAAATTGGCTTTATAAGTTAAATTTGTGAATTCTTTACATTTATTCTTGTTATTTTAAATTTGTGAGACCATATATGCTTTACTGCTTGGCTCTTTGGTATAAAATGATATGACACAAAGACACATTGATGGTTCTTCTGGAGGAGCACTTATGTTCTAGGCTTGAACATAGCTTTCTGATGATAGTGGGGGAGGTTTTAAATATCTTCAAAGCTAACTGTTATAGAGCCAGAGCAAAGAGGTGCATCACTGGGTAAGTTGAGTTTGAAAGAAAGCATATTTTATCTAAGATATGTGATGCTTCTCTTCCAGCCTCCTCATGGAGCCTTGTCAGTGGGAATGGTGTCATGGAAAGTTGAATATCTTAGACATATTAAATAAAACTATGGTGGTCTCTGTCAGAAAAAACAAAAAACATTAAGAATTCAAACTTCTGAAAACAATAATTCAATTGAATTCAGTTTATTTATATAGCGCCAATTCACAACACATGTCATCTCAAGGCACTTTACAGTTCAACTAGATCATCCAGTCAGATTGATT